AAGGGTGAAAGGGCAGCAGGCGCACAAGCAGCTGGGACAGCAGTGTGGATGGGGCTGGAGAAGGGGCCGGTGCGTCCTTCGGTCCGGCATGAGCTGCAGGATCCTTCCGGCGAGAAGAAACGAATGAGAACTGAAAACAAACAAGGCCATGGATGCTGCGGGTTTGGTGGGAATTTTTTGCCCAGTCATCTGCCACTTGGCCCTGCTGCCCCTCTGCCTCCTCCCTTAGACGTAGCAGAGGTAGAGATAGGTCTTCTCTATCCGCCAGTCAGTGGGGATCTCCTCTGGTTTGTGGCCCTTCATGTGCTTCTGCATGGCGGAGAGGCTGGGGCAGTACTCCAGGCAGATGGTGCACTGGTAAGGGGAAGCGCCATTGTGGGTCCGAAGGTGTTTGATCATGGCCGAGTAGTCCCGGGAGCGCTGGTGGCACAGCTTGCACTCGAAGGGCTTCTCACCTGTGGGATACGGGGTGTCACTGGGGGCCGGGGGCCTCCGGGTGCCCACCAACTGCCCAGCATCGACGCTGCCGCAGCGGGCACGGCTGATAACCACGTAATGAACAGCAGAACCAACGTCATTATTGATCCCCCATTTACAATTGTTACGTGCCGGCGCATCCAGGGGGTCGTTATCCCTGGCTGCCACCCTGGTCCACATGCCAGCCTTTCCACCGGGGGACCGGTCTGTCATTGCCAGCCTCACCACAGACACCCAGCACGTACCTGTGTGGACTCGGTAGTGGGTCTCCAGCTGGTGCTTGAGGCTGAACTTCTTGCCACAGCCGTTGCACTCGTAGGGCTTCTCACCGGTGTGGATGCGCTTGTGGCCCTTCAGCGTGCTCTCGTCCCGGAAGCAGCTGCCGCAGAACTCGCACTCGTAGGGGTGGTCGCCTGCAAGCACACGTGGGGGTGAGGGCTGCTGTGGCTGCCGTGCCAACCAAAACCAGCTCCCCAGCCTTTTTACCCCGGGCAGCCATCCTGAGGACAGAGCGTCCCGGTCTCCCCGCTGTGCTGGTCCCTTCATGCACAGATCTTCATGTACAGAGGGGATGCTCGGGTCCGCGGCACGGTAGAGAGACCGGAGTGTGCTGCAACCCTCCCGCCACCAATTTCCAGGTTTTTCACCCAGCAGCACCAGCACAGACCCAGCCCTGGGCATCTCCCACACTCTGGACCAGGCGGCTGATAAATGAACTCTGGTTTGGCACCAAAGGCAGAATGATTTGAAGGAAAGGTGAGGGCTCCAGCTACTTATTTATTACAGCCGCGAAGGCAAGGACAATAAAGATAGATTGATCGTCCGAGACTTTGTTCATGAATATTTAAATATTACTGATTTGTCTTGTCACTGTAATTACAATTTCTCTGTGCCGCATATCCTACAAGCACAGTTTATGGTAAAGAATGGCGAACTGTATTTCACTTGTCCTGCTGCAGATGTGCGGAGCTGCCAAGCGTGTAATGTTCCCCGCATTTCATACATTTTCTTCAGCTGTGAAGGCTTAAGTCATCCACAATGACCTACGTTTTTTCATTATCCCCGTGTCAAACTGCACTCGTGCCTGGGCATAAATTGTCCTTCTCGTTATATACTCACATGCCTGTGCTTTCGCTTCCTCTTTAAAATGATATTTTACTCTCTCCCCATTTGCCGCAGCCCAGTTCTGCGGCCCCTCGCCCCTCCCGCAGCTGCTGCCTGGGCACCTGGGGGAGGAGGATGCTGGGGATGCAGCTCGGAGCCCCCTCCAAAGGCAATGCAGGCGGTGCCTGTGGGCTGTTGTTGACTTTCCCCTGCCTGTGGGCTGCTGTTGACTTTCCCCTCCCCGTGCCCAGTTCCAAACTGCCACTTTGGCTTTTGATCCTCCAGTCAAAGACAGCAATTTTTCAGCCAGAGGCAGCCAGCATTTCCACCCGCCCGCTTTTCAGGGGAGCCTGAGCCCACGGAGCACCCTGGCCCTGGGACAAGAGGGAGCATCCTGCAGCTGTGCAGGATGGCACCACATGGCACGATTAAACGCTCCTAAAGCGCCGATGATCCCAGTGTTTTTTCACAGCCGGGAGCTACTAAAGAGGCAGAGGTTGGGGTGGGACACGCGCAGCCCGACCTGCAGCCCAGGTCACCGGATTACTGGCTATAAATAGCTCCAGCACTCAGCATTAACATGCTTATCATCGACACAGGATTCCCATTTCCCACATCGGGACCCCTAGCCCACGTGTGGGTCTGGCAGCTGCCAGCCACAGGCTGGACAGAGCGACCCTCCGTGACACCACCCGCACAACCCCCAGCAGCCGCCCTTACGTCCCTTTTGGAGATTGTGTGCATGCCCCCTGCCTGACAAGAGAAAGAAGGGGCATCCCTCCTCAGGATACATTTTGTTCCCTGTCAGCAACAGCAGTGGTGTCAAGGAGGGTGCATGAGCCTCGCTCTTGTGTGGGAAAAGGATGGGTGAGGAACGCTTCACCCAGGCAGCTGTGAAGATCCATGTGATCTTGCACGCTCCTGTTCATCCCCCAGGAATCAGCTCTTTCAGGGGTGTTTTGTGAGCGGCCCCAAATGATGTGCTGATGATGTGGCCAGGACCACGGAGCTGCCCAGGGATGCCGTCGGAGGAGCTGAGGACACTGCGCGGGCGCTTTGAGGACACGGCGTAAGGCGGCCAAGCCGTGCTCTCCCGCTCGGCAATCCCGCAGCCGAGCCCTGCCCCAGTGGGGCCACGGCAGCACCAGCTACACGTAGCGCAGGTCGCCCTAATCCCATTAGGGCCGAGCACCAGCTGATTATGTGCATCTACCGCCGTAAGCTGATGAGGCGGATATGATCGCACACCCCCTAAGAAGGTCACGTGCCACCTCAGACCAGATCAACTTATTACACGCAGCTTTTTTTTTTTTTTTTTTTTTTTTTCTTTCCTGTTTTGTTTTTCAACGCTCAGCCGCTTCAGCCAGCTCCACGCTTTTTTAATACAAATCACCTTTCCTCCCCGTTTCTTTTTCCCGCCTGGGGAAGGAGCGCGTCCCGGCCGCCCCAGCCCGGGTCCCCGCGGCGGTGCCGCCGTACCTGTGTGCGAGCGCAGGTGCCTCTTGAGCGCGGTGTGGCTGGGGAAGGTGCGGTTGCACTCGCTGCAGATGTAGCTGCGCACCCCGGCGTGCACCTCCATGTGCTGCTGCAGGGCGCTCTGCGTCTGGAACCGCTTGCCGCACAGCAGGCAGAAAACGGCCATGTCTGTACCTGTGCGAGAGGGAGAGACCCCGCTCAGGCACTGCCTGGCACCCGGCCCCCTGCCTGGCACCCCGCTGTGCGGGGGTCCCCACGCCCACGTGGCAGCAGGGGTGCTCGGGCAGCAGGAGGGACCCCAAGAGCTGCAGGGCTTTGGGTGTCATTGGGAGTCCCTGGCCGCCCTGACCCTGCTGACACGGTCCCGCTGAGGGCAGCAGCTGAAGAGGAGAAGTTGCTCTTATTGCACTGCTGGCAGCTGGGAGCCCTGGCGATGCCGAGGGATGCCCAAACACAAGGCAGCTGTTGGGTGATCACTGCATCCCCACACACCTCTGAGAGCTGCTGAGCTCAGACCTTGTGATGCCCAGGGGAAAGGGGACCCCAAGGAGCGCCCCATGAAGCTGCCCTGGGGAGCAGGAGGCAGGATGTGAGAGGGGGACGTGCCCACCCCTCGTGCTGTGTGTGGCCCCGAGCCCCAGGGCAGATCCAAGCTCCATACCATCGCTCTTGGGTACAAACCTGGCTGCAGCAACACAACAGAGACAAAACCCCAACCCAGGTGCTTGTACCCTGTCCATAAACATCTCAGACCTCTAGCCATTAAACAGTTTGTTTTCGCTTATGCATAGCTGATTGTTCAGAACTGTGAGTCACTGCAAATTGTATTACACAGGGAGATTAAGCAAATAAATGCTCGCTTTTTGGAGACATTAAAATGTGAGGACTATGGAAATAAAATTAGCTAGAAAATTGTATTAGCAATTCATTAGCAGCACAAGATGTTCAAGGTAACCAACAAATCCACGCAGCCTTCAGGAACAGCAGGGGCAGAGGGCTGCTTGCCATGCTGCCAAAACCAACCCCAGGGAGACCACCAGGACCACAGCACCGCGGGGCAGGGACAGGAGGGGCAGCAGCACTGTCAGTGGCATGCAGGCAGGGGACAGGGAGGATGCTCCTGGGCAGACCCACACCTCCAGCTTGGGAGCCTGCATCGGGCATCCTGGAGAGCATCCTGGCTCACACCATCACCTGCTCTGGCATTGTGCCATCACCCACCCAGGTGTGGTGGCACGCCAAGGTCAGCTCTGTCCTGCTGGGGATGCAGAGGCTGCCTGGGGGGATGCTCAGTCTCAGCCTTGCACGGGGCTACCCAAAAATGCTCTGAAATCTGAAAAAAGCCCCAGTGAAATGGGAATAAAAGCAGCAAGAGAGGTGGCCCCGCATGGGAGCTGCCTTTCTCCCTCTGCAGGGATTTATCCTGGGGGGTTGTGGGCTCATGTGCCCCCCACGCAGCTGTGGACAAAACGCTCCCAAGACAAAAAAAAAAAATTAAAAAAAAAAAAAAAGAAGGGAAAAAAAAAAAAAAAAAAAAAAAAAGGGGAAAAAAAAAAAAAAAAAAAAAAAGGGCTGACAGGAGGTGCTGCTCGGGCAGCGCGAAGCAAATCCCAAGAGGTATGTGGCCCCGCGGCCCTCGGCGGCCCCGGCGGTGACAGCAGGACGGGTCAAAGGTCCCCGGGGCTGAGCCCCAGCGCCGCGGCCAGCTGCGGAGCGGAGGCCCCGGCCCGCGGGACGCCGGCCCCGATAAATCTGCCGCCAGCAGCCCCCGCTGGGGCCGGGGACAATGGGCTCCCGTGGGGGCGGAGGGCAGCACAATGCCGCCGGGCCGGCGCGCGGGGCCGTAACAAATCCTCCCTGGCACCGTAGGGCCCTCATTTGTGAAACTAATTGGCCCCCGCTTGAAGGAAAAAAAAAAAAAAAAAAAAAAAAAAAGGGCTGACTCCAGCAGCCGCGGCGATGGGGACGGGCGTGCATGGGGGACGGGGCTGTGTGCTGGAGCCGGGCATCCCCAGGTGCTGCTTCCTGAGACCTGCAAAACGCCGGTTTTCATTTCTCTGTTTCTTTCTTCTTCTTCAAGCAATGCATCAGTAAATAAACACCCCAGACTGGGAGTCAGTGAGTACTGGCATGGCCGGTGAAGGCACACGTTTCCAGTTGTGCTCTGAGAGCAGAGAGCATCTGCGTGACACAAAGGCTGACACACCGGGCGCAGAGGTGGAGGATGCGGGAGCTGGCCCTGCATCCCCGCACTGAGCCAGCGGTGGCACAGGAGCACTGAGCCTGTCCCCAGCCCTGGGGCTCCGCAGGTGACATCCTCCAGCAGCCAAGGGGCGCGGCAGGCACAAGGCCGGGTCTGCAGGGTGCCGTCCCACTGCCGGCCTTCAGGTCGTTTGTTTTTTTTCAGGCTACATGCCAACTATGTCACGCCTTTGGAGAAAGGATGGGAAGTGGGAAAAAATGGCAAAACTCTTGAGAGGGTAGCACAGTGGGTGACACAGGACTCAGCCCTGCGTCCTGTCGTGAGCGCATCCCTGGGCTCCAGCCACAGAAGCCCCGAGCCAGCCCTCAGCCATTGGAAGAAAAATCACCCCTGATAAAGAAATGCTGCCACCCCAAATCAGTGAGAGACGGATTTATTCATTTCCCTGACATTTTAATGGTTTCTCCCCTTTTTGCAGGAAGATGATTACAAATTAAGCAGCATTTAAACGCTTTTTACTGTCAACAATTAAAAGGGGTGAAGGCGGGCGAGCAATTCATTCCCCGGGAAACGCGCTGGCTCTCGGCGGGCGCCGACGGCCCTTCCCTCTACTGTACACAGCACAATGGCCCCGAGCACGCCATTAATTTTGCAGGACGTTCAAAAGCAAATTAAAATATAAAAAGCCCCTGGGCACAAAGATAGATACCGAGGGAGGGGGCGGCGCAGGTCAAGCTCGCAGAATTGAAGTCTTAGCAACTGGGAAGGTTTAAGCACAGCCCCGCACGCTGCGTTCAGGTGCCACCTTTGCCCACCGTCCCCAGTTTCTGTGTCCCTGCCAGACCCAGTGCTGTGCCAGCAGCTGAAAGCCGCTAGTGGGGCAGCTGTTAGCACTGCCACAGGGTTCCGAGGTGGAAGCTGCAGTGATTTGGGTGTCAGACGCTCTTTGGGTAAGCATGCTGGCCACATCTTGCTGGGTCTTTTTAAACACAAGGTGGTCCCAAGACTGATTTTTAGTGGGGGGATGCTTGATGGAGGGAGGGAAAACCCTATGGCTGCAAGCCTGGAGATGCACATCCCTGCTCTCCAGCAGCCTGGTCCCAAAGCAGCGCAATCGCCAGAGACGTGATGACGAGCAAGACGCGACGTGTGACAGCGCGCCCCGTCCGAGTCACAGCCGGGGATGCTGCAGCGCCGCCCCCACCCGCTGCCTCTGCCAGAGCAGCAATTCCACCGAAAACCGGCGTGGCCACGGGTGAGGGAGGCAGCGTGGGGTGGGTCTCCCTCGGCACTGGGCCCCGGTGGAGTTTATGGATGCGGGAGGTGCACTGCAGGAGAAAGGCGACACGTCCCCTTTAAAAGGAAATATAATTTACAGTGTGCAGCCAGGCGGGCCATAGTTTCAATCTCGTTTACTATAGAGAAAACTCTGCTAGCTGTTCTCTATCCCACAAATCCGATTTAATCAGACAAGCCAGCCAGCGTGGCTTGAAGTAAAAACGGATAATTAGTAAACAGAGAGCTACTTCAGTGCTTCATTGGCATTCGAGCCGGGCTAGTGTGTCGCATTTAAAATGCAGTCTGATGAAGTTTACAAAATCAAACCATTTGTTACTCCTATTGAAGAGGCTTCAGGCCACTTGCAATTAAATTGGAATTAGTGCTTAGAATGAGATACAGCAAATTCATACTAAAAAGGGATCTGACTTTCAGACATTTGACTTCAAGTTTTTCCCCCACGCTAGAGCACGCGTGCTGGCCTGCCGGCCCCCCAGAGCCCCTGGCAGCACTGCCAAGCCCAGACCTACTGTGTGGCTGGGGAATGGGGTGACTCGGGGATGCTGGCAGCAGGGGAGGGGGGACAAAGGAGCGGTGCCACCATGCTGGTGGCCATCCCCATGGAGCCCCAGCACGGTGGCAGCACGGGGCTGGCAGTCCCCAGGCCAGCGGCACCAGCATCGAGATGTGCAAACCAAACTGCCCCGCCCTGGGTCCTCTTCAGAATGCTGCCATCTTTCCCTGCCTGCCCTCAGACCCATGTTAGCAGACTGGAAAAACGAGCAGATCCATCCACTGTTGAAATAACAGGAAGAGGGAATGAAAGGCTGTGGAGGGGCACACTGGGAAGGCCCCAGCATTATCACGGGTGTGAGCACGCTCACGTCAAAGGGTGCTGACAGAGCCTGTTGCTGCCTCATGCACCCGAAAACCCCCAAAACCTCAGCTCAAGTCCTGATAATTCAGGGTCTTCCACAAGGCTCCCTCCTCCACTCTTCATGTTTAACATCATCCCACATGGTTCATGTGCCAGAGGTGACCTGACACTGCTGCTGTCCTACAACAAAGGTGAGCGGCTCCAAAACATCCTGGCCATGCACAGCAGCAGCCCAAAGGCTGTTGGCACTCCTGAGATGAGATTTCAGGGACATTTGATGATTTTTGTCAGCATGTCAAAGGCTCTCTACCAGCAGCACCGGGGAGGAAGGTGCCATTGGCAAAGGTGGCCAGAGAGTGGCAGAGAAGCCCCTGTCAGCCCTGCCTGCAAGAAGGCTGGGAGAGGCAACAGTGGGGCACATTGCCTGGAGCATCCCTGCCACAGCTCCAGCACCCAAGCTCAGGCAGCTCTGGCCTGAAGGACAGCCTGAAGGTGCCCAGCTCAGCTCACAAGGGGCCCTGGGAGCACTGCACATGCTGCTGCCATCGAGCTGGAAAGCGGGCACAGCACAGGCCTGGGCAGCACCAGCACCAGGACTCACAGACTGCCCCAGGATGATGGTGGGTGTATGTGCAGGGTAAGAAAATCAACCCCGTTTTGGAGTCTGTTTTCAGGATTATTATGAAACCCAAAGTGGTGTTTTTGGTGGCAGCACCGAAGTGCACCCACAGGCAGGGGCAAAGGAGCCTCCCCTGAATGCTGCTGTGGGGACACAACACCTGCAGAGGCCTGCCTGGATGCAGGGATGCTGTGCAGAGCCGTGTCGTGTGGTGCCACCCACTCCAGTGCTATTGAGAGGTGATGGCATGAGGCTGCAGGACGCACAGACTGCCCCAGGATGATGGTGGATGCATGTGCAGGGTAAGAAAATCAACCCCGTTTTGGAGTCTGTTTTCAGGATTATTATGAAACCCAAAGTGGTGTTTTTGGTGGCAGCACCGAAGTGCACCCACAGGCAGGGGCAAAGGAGCCTCCCCTGAATGCTGCTGTGGGGACACAACACCTGCAGAGGCCTGCCTGGATGCAGGGATGCTGTGCAGAGCCGTGTCGTGTGGTGCCACCCACTCCAGTGCTATTGAGAGGTGATGGCATTCATTACTGTGCTGAGTCAAACAGCCCCTACAACCTTCATGGTTCAGTGGAGAAAGGGGGGAAAACCCCCAGAAGATAAACACAGGAAATGTGTGCATTTTGTGCCAGAGTCACCAAATCATCCCAGTTTCAAAGGCTGCCTCTGGACTCCACAGCTTGGCTTCTGTGCTAATTAACATCTTTATGGAAGGCAACTTGTCCCAAGGGGGCATTTGTTTGATTATTATTATTTACTTAGAGATAGCACAGCTTTCTTCCCAACTTTAACCGACTATGGAAAATTAATTTTTAAAAAGCAGCTGACGCCGCCTGCTCTCCTGCCCCTGCTGGTTTTCCTCCTGGGATGGATGTGGACACTCTGGCTGCAACAGGAGGGCAGGGCAAGCTTCTGGCACTGCCTGCTGCCTCCATGCCAGCTCACCCTTTTACAAACCCTGAGGAAAACTCTGGCGTTTCAGGGCAGTTGTACAACACTGACCTTGCAAGCACAGGGGATTAACAAACCCCCCAAAATAAATGCCTCATTTTTTGCTCCTGCAGTGATGCACAGGGCTGCTTCCCAGCCAGCCACGCTCCTGCTCTCCCCACTGCCCAGGGCAGGGTGCACATGGAGGATGTTTGGGATGCTGGTGCCCGCAGCAGCCTGGGCAATGCGTGCCAGGCCCTGAGCTGCAGCTCTGGCACGGGCAGCTCATGCCTGCTGGGGGTGATTTATTCCAGGGGCCATCTGGACCTGGGGGACAATGTGGTCCCGTATCCTCGTGAGCTGGCTCATTAGTCACACCCTCGTAGCTCGACCTCTCTGTCTTCCTTTGAGTATGGTGGGACAAGAGCATCCCCTTCTCGCCTGCCTTTTGGTGGCCCGCCGCTCCCCCATGCCCAGTTGGTGGCACCTTGTGCCCTCCCCACCACCCTCCACCTCCATCACTGCCACCATTGCCACCATCACCACCTTCCCTCCCCGTGTTTCCTGGGATTGCTCACAAAGTGATTACGAGGCACGTGCGGGGAGGGAAGGAGCCAGGCGGCGATTAGCGGCGGTGGCTTTATGGCAACAGGCACACAACTCATTCGTTTCATGTTTTGCAGAATATAAAAGCGCCGAAACATCTTAATTTTAAATTCTTATCATTGAATTTACTGCTTTTCTCTCGCAATGATTTGTGTTGCTTTTTAATTTTTACAGTCTCTACAGAAGCCAGATGCTACTGCCTAGGGCCAAAATAATAAAAACCCGCTGCAGTCGCGAGTTACAGAACAAAAAGGAAACGCGCGGCTGACAGAAGTTAATATCTCAATTTAACAGTGCTGCTCCGCTAATGATCCTTTGATATGTGTTTATTTAGAAAGGTCTGATCTTGACCTTGAAAGCAAACTAAACCGCAAAGTCTTTATGAGAGGAGAGAAAGACTTTATTTATAGACTGGCTTTGCGTCAATCACGGCGGCAGCTGGACCCGCGCTGCTGAAGCTCCGCGGCTGCCTGTGGGCCCAAACGGGGCCTTCAGCAGGAAATGTGTTTTTGGGAGGGTGTGGGATCAGCTGCCATGGGGGACTGCAACGTGTCCCCATCTCCAGCGCAGCAGGGAGGGGCAATCCAAGGGATGTGGGCAGCTCCAGGCCTGTGGGGGATGCTCTTGGGGGACAGCACTGCTCCAGACACACCCCTGTCCCCAAAACAAGCCACCCTGGAGTGTTGTATGCCTAACCCCTCCTTCCAGCACTGGAAAGTGCTGCCTCTGCTCCCCAGTCTACTCCCTGAATGTGGTCCCCGGGCTTTGGAAGGAAGGGAGTTCAGCATCGCCCCAGCCCACACTGACAGAGCCTGAGCAGTGTTTCCTGCACTTCCCGAAGAAACCGAGTGCTATGCAAACCTGGCAGAGGGAGTTTTTAAGGCCCAATCCTTTTTATTGCATTTCCTCCTGGGTGGGGGAGGTGGGAGGTTCCTGAGCTTTTAATGCTTCTAGCCTGGGATGCACTGAGGACACTTCACACTCATGGAGTGCTGTGGTCTCCAGCTCAATTTCCATTTTTTCAAGCCAAACAGTTGTTTGAAGTTGTTTGCAGTCCCTAAAGCCTTCTGGCCGAAGCTGGAGGCACATCCTCCTGGCAAAGTGGTAACCCCAAAGCCTTTTTATTGTACTGAATATCTATCAAAATATATCAATACATATTAAACCCATTCAGGCAGACTCATGATCATCCTTGGCAAAAACCATCACTCAGTTGTTCCAGGTACTGATGGAAAACTGCCCCCTTTCCTGGCAAAACACATCACCTGGCCAAATGCAGCAATCTGGTATCTGAACATCCATGTGCAACACCTCCCTTTTGTGCTGCTTTCCCCTAAGCTCACACCATTCTGGAGAATGCCAGATTCAGCCTTGCTGTTCCCAAGGAAGCTGTGCATTGGGACACCTCTGCCCTTCCTGAGAACCAGTTTCTCTGGGGCAACCACCGCCAAGTCATGGTGGCATTTCTGGCCACTGCATCAGATGGGAAGTTGTCACACACACTCATCATCACTGCACCAGCTTCCCAGATTTCCTCTTCCCAGTTGGAAACTGGACTGAAATCAGCTGAAAAAACAATCTGACTTTTTGCTGAAAACCCAGAGTATCTCCCCCACTGCTTCTGAACTGATGCGCTAGAAACTGCTCCATCTCCCAAAAAAGAGCTTTGGTGAGGAGACCGAGGGGTCTTTCCATGGGAGACCACCATCACCATCACCACGGGAGACCACCATCACCACTGCATCGTCCCACCTGGCAGAGTGCACCACCCGCCCACTGCCAATCCGTTCCACTCCTGCATCTCTCCTGTTCAAGGCGGCACCGCTCTGGCATCCTCCAGTCCCACGGAGTTGCCACGGAGCCCTGCTTCACACCCCAACCAACAAAATGACCTTTTTGGTGCTGAGGCGGCTGCCTGGCAGAGCCTGGCCGGTGCAGCGACCGGCTGCCGCAAGGCACAAAGCCGGGACTCGCAGCATCTGCTTATTATTCCTGCACCCCCATCATTAAAAAAAGAGAAAAGATGAAAAGGCCCCATCGGCAAAGCCGGGGAGACGTGGAGCGGCACCGAGCGCAGCCTGGCCCCCAGTTGTTGGGGGTTTTTGTACAGCGGGGAGACGCGAATCCTGGGGGACAAAAGTAACTGCTAAGGTAAGTTAAACCTTGTCGAGATGAACTTTCCTGCTACTTTTAATTAAAAGTTCTTTGGAATTAAAAAGGACACTATTCAGGAAAGGCTGAAAAAAAAAATTCATTGACACCAGCCCGCCCCCCTCCCCTTTTTCCCAAGGAAAAGAAAAAGCTGTTTTTGTGTGTCTGCTCACCCAGCCCGCACTGTACAAAAGGAAGCGGATTTGCAGCAAGACACATGAGATGACCCCCTGACCCCGAGCCGCTGAAAAGTCCTCAATGGCATAAATACCAGATAATCAATCACATACCAGGAGGGCCGGTCCCCCTGCCCTCGCCCCCGCCGCCGGGTTTATGAGAGATGCACTGTAAACGGACACCGGCTCCTGACGGGAGGCCCCTCTCGGCATTCCTCTGCTGGACCAGGAGACCCCGGCCGCCTCTGAGACCGTGTTTCATCCCTCTTTTATAAAGCCCAGCATGGAAATGCCGAGCATCCTCAAGCTTGCCATAGCTGATCCCTTGTGCTCCAGAGCAAAGGGGGACAGAGACATCCCTCTGTGCTCTGGAGAGATGGCCAAGCATCCTCCGTGCCACCACAGCCAGCGCTGAGCTGGGCACACAGAAACCAGGGAGAAACCAGTCCCATTTACAGAAGGCTTTCCTTTTTGGGAGGCTGGCTTTGTGAAGCCTTCATGGGCTCTAGCAGTGAGTACCGTGTCATGCTGTGTTCCCCATGGGGCTCTGACCAGCACCCTGAATGCCAGCAAAGGAAGGCTGCCAAGGCCCTCTGGTGCTCCAGGGCAACAATAGATGTTAAAGCTTTCAAGGGAGGGAGGGAAAAAACTTGCAGTGATACCGCACTGGTTTGGTTAAATGGGGAGCCACTTGGCAACTAAATTTGATAATGCTTTTGTCCATGGGTCAGAGGTTAAATATGTTCACACTAATCCCCTTCATCTAGAATTAAAGGACAAGAAAGATTTCTCCGTAGCTTAGCGAGAGGGCTTTTCTCATCGTGCTTTAAATAGTATTTGCACAGGAAAATTAAAGGCGGACCATTGGCCCCGATGCCATCGTGGCTGCACGGCTCTGCCACGCTCCCATCTCCTCTCTCCTTTTGGTGAATCCACCGGCTTGCACCATGCCTGGCCTCATCACATTTCCCCATGTGTGCACCAAGGAGCACAGGGAATTCTTGCTGCCATTTGCTGTCAAAGTGGCAGAAGCAGCCGTGGTTTGGGAGGCAGGGAGATTCCCGGCTGCAGGAATGCACGCCAGGACTCAGATTTCAAGTGCTGTCACAGGACATTACTGTCAGACAAAGGGGCTCTGTGCTGCGCCCCTAGGACCCACTGCCCCCAGACCCTCTGTGAGCTGGGGCCGGCACCTGAGCATCCAGAATCCACTCTTGCACCAAGAGCAAACCTGCGAAGCATCGACTGTCCATGGCAGTCTCCCAGCCTCCCAGACTCCCCCAGCCCAGGCGAGCACGGGAGAGATAATTACCTCTAAGCATACTTAATACTACAGTGCATTATCTCTAGCTATGGAGAGAAGCACGATCCGGAGGTACTTCCTCCCAAAGTCTCGTTGGGCTGCTCTCAGAAAACCCTCCTGAGTCCTGTCAAATGGTAACAGAAAGTCACAGGCAGCCCAGGAAGATGTCAGGTTGGTTTTGGTAAGGAAGTGTGCCAGCTGCTTGTGCTGGCTGCTTGTGCCAGGCATTGCTTTGATCAAAATGTGGAAGAGGAAGCAGCAGGATAAGCCACAAACAGCATCTCCCAAATCTGCTGCTGGAGCAGGGACATCGCAAATGGCTGTTGGTGGCCAGTGGCACCACTGAGACAAGCCCCAGCCACTGGCAGAGTCATGCCAGCATCTTAGAGGAGCGCTGGCCTGACCATTAATCGTGGTGCCACACTGAGTGTGAGGCAAACAGAATTTGTTTTTCAGTGTGATTTATAGCTCACATCACCAAACTCACGTGTTATGTTCCACTTGCTCAAAACCTGTCATTTCCACACTGGAAGAAGCAGTGTGCCATACATCTGCAGCATCACTGCAAGGTTTTGGGCTGGAACCATTTTGAGGCAGAGAAAGCGAAGCAAATGTGAGGAGATAAGACAAATATGTAATAAATTTGACTCGATGTACATTTGCCAAGAACAGGGGTGGTGCGTGCCCGTGTGACAGTGCAGCTCCGGCGCAATGCCCCCTCCACCTCCTCCAGGCTCCCACGCATTCCTTGGCAAACCCAAGCCAGTAATGGGGTTGCTGGGATGCTCTTCTATGGAAAAACACCGAGAGCTCTGGCATATAACACAAAAATAATTTAAAAAATTTTAAAAATCCCCGTGCAATCGTTGAACAACACTTGCCGTGGGACCCAGCGCGGGGGCATCCTGCCACCTCTGCTCCCGGGTTCCTGCTCTCACACACCAGATCTTTCTCCCTTTGTACCTCCGCTTATGCTGCACGACTGTTTTGAATCTCTAAAATAATGTGACAAGTTAATGATGGCACAATTATCTAAATGTTTAACAGACATGTTATCTAAGTGAATCGGATTGAGATTCCATCCCGCTGACAATAAACATCAATGGGAGAGCAGAAAGTGATAGGCAAATTATCGCCAACCCTGCAATTTCAATGCTATTAAATTTGGAGGAATAACAGCCCTGAGGCCTGTAAACTCTGAATAAAATAGACCCTTGTGTTTGGCCAACTATTAAATCAAAACGCTACCAACATCCCAGCAAAAGAAAAAAAACAGGGGGGAAGAAAAGGGGGGAAGATATAGAGCTTTTCAATTTTCAGTTACATGTTGGTTTTATTAATTCCTTTCTGCTACTGGTGTCTCAGGGCAGAGGATACGAGGGACGTGAGGGATGCGAGTACGGGATGTAGGAAGGGAATGCTGCCAGGGGATGTGGGCAAGGGAGAGTGAAGGGTCCTGCTCCATCCTTGGTGGCGTGGCCGGGGGCACGCCAAACCCACAAATCAAAAAGCCAACCCCAGAAATCAAAAAGCCAACCCCAGAGATCAAAAAGCCAACCCCACAAATCAAAAAGCCAACTACTTGCTGAAGCAAACGCGCTCCATGGTGGGTGTCGCTGATGCCCACGTGAAACTGGGTCAGGAGTAAATGGGTGCTGTCCCGCTGACTGACACCGGCTGCCGTGTGCTAACTGCCTTGGCACACGGGAGGAAACTGGAGCCGAGTCACCTCTGATATTTATAAACGTCGGCACGAGCCCAGAGCCCGTTAGCACGAACACCGCTCGTGTGCACATCCCGACGCCCAGCGGTGCTGCCTGGGGCTACTCAGGCTGCCATCTCAATGCATGCTGTTTTTCCCTCTACATTCGAGGAGAAGGGTAAGGAATTTTCCATGCTCTCCTCCCCAGCAGCAAGCTTGTGCTTCTGGAAGATGAGCCAAAACAGTTGCTGCTTTTCCTATTGCAGCGGGACGGGGGCCAAGGACAGTGCACACCCGGAGAGGGCGTCTCGGCCCCGTGTCTGTGGGGCTGCACACAGCCCTGCCAGCGCCGTGCTTACAAGCAGGAACTATTTTTTTTGGTATTTATTCTTGTTTTGTGCCTTGCCTCAGGAAGTGGGGTGTTAGTTTTCTGCTGTGGAGACGAGCAGTGCTTGATGCAGCACATGTACAACAGCCTGGCTTTGTGTTACCATCATTCAAAGCAGCAGGGAGGGCAGCGGGGAAAAGAAATAACATAAAGGGGGTCCTGGGTGCTGAGAGTCCACCTGAGAAATAGCCCCATGTGCTGAAAGACAACCCTGAGAACCCTTCATCTCCTGCACAAAGCTCCACAGCTGTAGGTCATGTGGGGAAGCAGTGACTCTTGTGGAGAGGTCCCACATCTCCCCTGAACACTATTTTTGAGTAATGTGGGTGGATTTGGTCAGCCTGTACCAGACACCCTGCTCAGCTTTTGATGCCATCTCTGAAGGCCTCCACCTGCCTCTCTACCAGAACGGGTTATGCATTTCTTTCACCTGGAAAGTTGGAAGGTCTTTTGCCAGCCAACCTGCACTAAGGGCAAAGGAATAACATCCAAAACAAACCTGTTCTGGAAGATGCTATTATTTGGGAAGGGGGTTAATTATAGCAAGGCTGGGGAGGGATGCTTTCCGTGCCAGCAGAGGAGAGCAAACAATTCACTTTGGCTGCCCTGGCCACTCAGCCCCTCTCTGCCATGTTTACAGCAGGAGGCAGGGATGACAAGCTCCCCTTGGGTCACTGTGTCCCCTGCTCTGGTTGCCCATTGCCCTTTGAGCTTTGGCACAGTCCAGCCCCAAGGATCCACCAGCCAAAGGGGGTTTAATCCCTGCAGGAATGTCAGGGTTGTTAGCCAAACTGCTCTGCATCTGCAGGATGGTTTGGGGTGCAGGCATCATTGAGCTCCATGGCTGGGCTGCCACTTGTCACCCCAGGATGCTCAAAAGGTCTGGGAAATAGAAGGAAAGGGGGGACTCTGCAATGTGCTTGGCCACTTTGAACCCCCAGCCTGGGCTTGGGTTGTTCAGCCCTGTGCAGCCAGTCCCTCACTGTGCTGGCCGCCCCTTCACAGCCCCTATCCCCAGCCTACAGCACAGAGAGCTTCCAAACAGACCTGGAATGGCAAAACCCAGCCTCCAGCTGCATGAGCATGGACAGGGAGGGCAAGTACTTTAAGATTTATGGAGTGGTGTTTGGCCAGCACAGCTCCATGACCGGGTGACAGCCGGAGCCATTCCCGCCCGGTGACACAGCACTTTGCACCCATCCTCACACCCCCAGCTCTCATCCAGTGGGATGAGCTCTCTGTGCCAGCCCCGAGCACAAACTCACTGCCAGTGGCATTTATATCAGGGCTTTCAGCACTGAAAGACGAACCTGTGCTCAGTTAAACCGCTCCCAATATAGCACAGGAGGAGCAGGCGCTCTGTCCTGCTCCAGTCTCGGTTTGGAGGGTGAAGGGCTCCACCTGGCTCTGCCT